GAAAAGGCTTTCCTAGCTATCTGAATGGCATAAGGTTGGAAATTGAGCCATTAACTTTTACAAATTTCTAAACACTACTTTGCAGTTTTGTATTTCGAAGTGACAAACTCGAGAGACACGCCGACTTTATGCAAAGGATGCAGCAGGTAAATTTTATCACTTTAATATGAAGATGAACAAGTTGTTTGGGTGTTTTTGTCCAGACTTTACAATTTTTGAGCAAATTTACATCACTTCGATTATTTGCGTCTCTTTGTGCAAAATTCGTTCCGTCTCTTCTCTCACATCGCTTATTGTTGTAGATTTATGGAGGCCCTGAAGCCATCATGTCCATGGATGATTGTTCGCATCTGAAAGATGCGCCTGGAAGGTATATGCAGGTAATTTGAGAAATCATTGCTAGCTAGAATTTGATAGGCTTTTTAAACGGCGTTCAGGTGTTCAACGTAGATCCGATTCCCACTCCTTGTCCTTTCGAAGACGCTCATGTCAATCCAGCTATAAAAGATTATTATCGTCATTATAATGTTTGTCGCTTACTTATATATAATTCTCAGTCTTTTAATCTTCTCATATCTTAAAAGTTAATCCCTGAAGATCCGCGACTTTGAGTACAGCAGAGTGGAAGAACGGAAGGATACCAAGTGGACGTCTGTTAAAGACACGGAGCTCATGCGAACATGGATTGTTAAGAGAACTGTTGTAACCTATGAGCGTTTGCCCGGTATACTAAGATCCACGCAGGTGTGAAGATTTACTTTCCTTGGCTGCCTAGCGGTTTTAGCCGTCAAAATTCAGATAATCTCCACTTCCCCTCCAATTTATGTGAATCCTCTACGTCGCTCTGTAGATCAAATGCAAAGGAAAAATGCTGAACTCATGGAAACTGCGTTATTAGTGTTGCTAGATCGACTGCATGCGGTGAAAAAGTTGTCTGGTGAGATATTGGGTGTTGTACGACCAGCGGTTATGGGAGGCGTCAGCAACTACGAGGTAACTGCTTAAAGCACTGAATAATAACAACTTTTATAAAATCTTGCACATTTTTAGGTCTTTTTCTCTGATGAATGCGCCAGGATATACGATTCTGAGGAGAAGCAACTGGCTATGCAGCTGAGTGCTTTAATAATAGAACAGGTAGAATTTCTGAACTTTTAGTGCTGCCAGTGTTTTCAGCAATGTCTTTAAGGTTGAAATACTCGAGTTTTGCCTTTACGCTCATGCGTC